AGCTTGTCAGAGAGGGGCCCGCTCGCTGCAAGCAGAAGACACCCCCAATGGCACCAAGCCCAGGGAGCGGGTTTGAGTCCCGTCTCTCCATGTGGGGCTCGATCCCAGGCCGCGCTCAGAGCCCCGGAGCTGCTGAGCATCTCCAGCACCCGGCAGGCCAGAGGCGACGTTCGGCAGCCGGGACTTTCCCGCAGAACCGCAGAGAGCCGAGAGGGCAGGGAGCAGGGAGCAGGGACCCTCCCTCCCCAGCCTGAGGCTGCCCCATGGGTCCCAGCCAGTGCTGCCTGCCTGCTGGAGGGGGATGCCCAGCCAGCCCAGAGGGGAGAGGTGACTGGCCCAGAACTCGCTCGGCAGCTCCCCTGATCCCCCTGGAGCCCCGGCCAGGGGAGGCGCATTGGCAGGGCCTGAGCTGCCCTTCCTCTGTGCAGACTGGCCGCCAGGGCTGGATCTTCGCTGCCTGGCCGGGCGAGCCAGAGGGACAATTGACTCCCAGCCCGCGGGGCTGCCCCGGCCCGTTCCCGGCCTGGCACGTACTGTAGAGGCGCCCCCAGCCGGTGACGTAGCAGGGATAGTCGTTGGGCAGGACCTGGCCGGGGGGCGGGAGGCAGCCCAGCTGCACGGAGTCGCTGAGCGTCGCGTCCCGGGACAGCTTGAGCAGGCATTGGAGACAGGGCTAAAAACCGGCCCCTGGCACTCCATGTCCATGGCACGGAGCCTGGCAGAGAGAGCCTGGGGGGGCCGCAGTCCTGCTCACTGGTCCCTGCCCCCGGTGGGGGCATCAGACAGCAGACCCGGCCGTGGCAGGAGCAGGCATGCCCAGGGCCTGCTCCTGTGAGGGGAGCCGCAGGCTAGGGTGTGGGGGCCGGCGTGGCAGATAAAGCCGTTCTGTTCTGCACCCGCTGGCCCGAAGGCTGCAGCCAGAGCACCGCGCCAGGCCCAGCACCCTCCCATGGGAACAGCTCGGGGGTCATTCTGTGGGGGTTTGTCTTTCTCTCCCCGTCCCCCCTTCCCCCCGGGAGCCCTGCCATCCCAGGCCTGGCCCGGGCCTGCCTCGACTTACCCACAGGCCACGCAGAAGGAGTTCCAGCCAGGGTGGACAAAGATGTCCTGGGAGTTGACGGGGATGTGCTGCTCCGTGCCCTCGGCTACGCTCCTGTCGTGCTCACCCAGCACCACCTGGTAGGTGCGCGAGGCCCTGGAAGGAGCCAGTGAGAGCCTGTGAGGCGGCAGCCTGGGGGGGCAGCCTGCAGTGGCCCT